ATCAACTGAACTGCGCCTGCAAATTGACTAGTGTTCCTATGCAACCCAACAACCCCACCATGAACGAAGCTTCCTGCAGCAAAGGATTCGCCATAACCATCCGTCTGACGAGGTGAAGCTGTCTTGGGCAAAAGGTCAAACAACTCAAGGATATCACAACTTTGCAGCTTACGGCCTTGCAAAGAAGCAACCAGTTCATCTAAAGACGATACAAGATTAGGTTTCCTCTTCTTAGAAGGGGCCACAACAGTGCCAGGAGGCGTCAAGTCGTCCTTCGCAAGCTTAGCGCCCGGATCAGACAACCCTTCGGACTCTAACCGTCACGACTTCGGCTTGGCACGGCACGTGGCAAAACTGTGATTCGCCCTATGGCACTGCACACACACATGGAAGCCTTTGGCACACCTTGGCAAGCCATCAACGACCTTGGTCTCGGCCGAGCAGCCTTCTCCGTTAAAAGCCCAGCATGTGGGGCCTTTGGCAAATCTTGGGCACTTCTTGAAAGCTTCCGGCATCAACTTGCTGGCCTTCTTTCTGATCTTCTGCGGCTTTGGAGGGCGAGGAGCAGTCGGCGTCGGCACTTGGATCATTCCCGCATCGGAACCAGCTGCAATGCTCGAGGCTGCAGCAGCAGAAAGCAAGACTGGAGAAAGCCACACTTGAATGCGCTGGTCAAAAGCCATGGCCCTGAAGGGAACATCTAAAGGCTTGGTGCCATCTGCTAGCGCTTTGTAGGGAGGCTGCACCTCACGCGCCAAGATTGTCCACACTTCTTTATCCGCTCTGATAAGCTGCTCGGGTTTGACCTGTGCCCAACCCGCGGGGACTGGGGCTGTCAAGAAGTTAAGCAAGCGATGAACATACTCCTCGTGCACCTTCCATGACAAGAGACTGCACTGATCCATGGCAATGCCCCGCCTCTGCCATGCCCACTGCAGACACAATGGACTAGACACATCCACCGGGATCTTCATGGTCGGGGCTGCGAGCTTTAAGGAGTCCTTTTCGAGATGCACGACAGGAGATTTTTCATTAACCCCCAGAGCCACTTCGGCATCCCTCTTACTGCAAACTGATGGTGCAAGCCAGACCAATGCCCCTGTCTCGTACATGGTGTTACACTTGTCTACCAAATGGTACGAAGGCTGCAACTCTCCGGCGATCGTCACGCCGCTAAGCCTACGCTGCTGGTCTGCAGCCCTCGCTGCTCTCTCCGGCATGGGCAACCGCTTTATCTGCGTATCGGTGCCATCAGAGGCCGCTTGCTCCTTGAAGGCCTGAATCACATACGTCGTTGCCTCAAAATGAAGATCACGCAGCATTGCCACTTTCCCCAATGCGGGACTTGCCCCGAACACATTGGCAGCCAACTCGAGGTATTGCTCTGACGTGGGCTCCACCCTCGGGGTGCCTATGGAAAAAGCCAATTGCCTGAAGTTCTTCAAGCCCTGGCCCGTCAAAGATGTGTGTAGTGATCCATCTGGACACACCTCGGAACATCGCTGCAGGAACGCGGCCTCAGAATTGATCAGAGCCATCGTAACAAGCAACGGAACTAAGGCCTCCAACTCTAGACACAATCTACTGCAACACATTCATGGGTCCTCCTCTGAATTGGTCAATTCACGCAGCCATCAACTTTAGCTACGTTAACATCGACACATGTGCACCACAAACAGATTGTCATGACTCCAGGACTTGGGTTACATCATATGCTCACAACAAAGCTGCACCGAGCCAAATCTGCACGATCCAGCACAAGTGCCAACCACCCACCAACTCACTTCGAGAAGGAATGTGGCGGGCGGCGCCAAAGCATATAAGTAACTCAGGCTCCCATGTCAGCAATCTGCTCAGCGCAATCGGATAGGACTTGCAAAGCAATGCACTCACAAGCAGCGTGCATCTTGGGGAAGATCACTCACCGACGGACTCAAGGAGTCGTGCTCTCGACTTGCCGTTCGGGAATGTGATTCACCACAACCAAGGATCTCACCGCCTTGTTTTGCGCTGCACCAGGTCTAGCGACGAAAACAAAATTTACATGGAAAATCATCCGCTCCTAGCGACGTTATAGCTTAAAATGCTTGGAGCCAACTTTCCGCCCACAAGCGAATAAGTTCTTAAAATGCACTCGTGGTGCTAAGTGGGCCACACCAGATGAATCATGTTTCCAGAGATCAAAACCCGGAGGCACAAGCTGGCCCTGAGCTACCAAGGCAATCGGCTGCCCCTCGTCTTCATCGGACGATTCAAAGGACTCACCATCCGAGACACCAACCTCGGAGTCACTGTCGACCTGCACTACCTCAGCACGTTCCTCCGATCCGAGTGGTTGT